GTATTCATTGTTGCTGTTGTTCGGTTTTCTTGTAGTTTTCTGTTTCTGTGTCAATGTTTTTGCCACCGGTCAGCGGTCAATATGTGACTGGCTGCTGTTTTTTTTCCTTTGGATGGCGAAGTGAAAATGAATTGCTCGTAAAAATGCTTGTAAAACAACGGCAACAACAAGAGCAACAGCCACTCAGCCAGCAGCCAGTCAGCCAGCAGCCAGCAGCTTGGCAACAAACTGCGTGCAAAATATCATTAATCATGATAATTTATATAGGCTGGTCAGCTTCATAAATATTACGTAGCAACCTGGTAGGCTTACCAATTTTAACGAACTTTACGCATAATTTAACATTCTTGTCGATGTCTCTTCGCATTTTATTTTTGTGAGTTTTTTTTTTTTTTTTGAATTTGAAAAAGCCAATCATTTGGCCATAAAATCAAACCAACAACTACCAAATTGCGATGGCATGATTTGGCTATTACCAATGGGCTTAATGGCCTAGACCTTTTATATAATCGCCTAGCAATGAGCACTTGAGCAACTACAGTTCATTGCCATTTACACTAAAAATAGCAGCACCTGGCAGCCGGAAAACTTTTGCAAAGCAACGCGAACGCCAACGCCAACTATAAATCCATGTGACATATTGCGTTGTCCGCATCAGTTTCAACCATACGGACTATATATACACTACATAATCTTATCTAAAACAAAACACTTTCTCAGCATTTCCATGCTGGTACGTACGCCACATAAATCACTGCGAAAGACACACAGAAAGAGAGAGAGAAGAAGAGTTAAAGATCTGATGAGCCAACTCGCTGACAATGGCACATCAAGTGGTGCAGCGTCAGCACCGAGCCACCCACGTCACCAGACAGTGGCAGCCAGCTCATTAGACTATCGAACATGTTGTCGAAAGAAAAACTATTTGTTTCCATTATATCCAAATTTTCAACATATCTAACTAGATACAAATATTTATAGCCACGAAACTTGTGACGTAGCTGATTTAAGTTTATTGCAAAGAAACAAAATTATATAATGCTCGAATCTGCATATTAAGCGTATCTCAACTTAATACAATTATGCTATTAAGTGTCGTTTAAGATACGGATATTAAGGCATACATTTGAAGATACAAATGTATCTTATAGATACTTAACTATCGTTTAACTAATCTGTTCGCAGTAAGTCCTAAACATTTGTAATGCGCTATTAAACTATTTTATTAGCTAACTGATTTCATCTTGACATATTTCTTAATTTAGTTTGCAGATACAAATGTATCTAGATATATCAAATAGAAAAAAGAACATCTTTAAAAATGTGCTTATTACACACATGGCGTCAAGTAATAAAAAAAACTAGCGGAATTATTGGCCTAAGTTTTTCTTTTGAACATGTCTATAAGATATGTAAGTTGTAGATATAAATGTATCTAGATACATATGGTTGCTGATGCACAAATTCCGAAATTTCAAAAGTTTTTAATATGATATAAGACCCAGCTAAATAATCTGCAAGAAATAGCTCATTCCGAACGGTTGCCCAATTCATAAAGATGTATCTAGATACATCTAGATTTGTATCTCAAGATGTTCAACAACTCGTGGGTCTTTTGTAAAAATTAATTTATTGTATTATGTGCTGAAAATGATATAATAGCTTTGGCCCTTTGGACACGCCACGTTGCGTTCTTCGGTCTGTGTTGAAATTCTCCCTGAATAGCCCTTAAGCGAGTGATTACAGTATTAATCATGTTAATGCCTTGGGCCGGGGGACTTACGCAGTATATGCAATTTGTTTGGAATGAAATGTTTAGGTATTTGGAAGTCCAGCTGGTTTTGGAAAGTTCTTAGCTAGCCAGCTATAACTTATATGCTTTATGTGCTCCATTGATGGGTCATAAAAATAAATAAAATAAACTTATAATCGTATAGGGAACAAAGCAAACATTTGTTGCGCTCGTTTTTGGACATTTATGGAGCTGTGAGCACAGTCTTTGATCTGCCACGGAAAAATAAGATGCGTATGCTATATAAAGAGGCCTATAGTATTTACCAAAAGCAATTAACACGCGGGCCACAAGGCGAATGACAGTGAAAGTAACTTGCAGCTTTGGTGCTCAAATCCGATGCAACAACTTACTTCATCAGCGCACTGAAGACGTGCCGTAAATTAAGTTATCAAAAAATCTGTCGGAAGCTTTTAGCATCTACCCGAAAAGAAAACAGAGTCGGGCTCAACGTCAACCACTTCAGTTAACTTCACACCTTGCACCACGCACCACGTACTAAATCAGTCGCATAATTGCCCACAGACCCAGACTTGGCGGTTAAAACCGTCAGGTAACCAGCTACACTCATATATCATTATGAAAATATGCACGCCCCCAGCAGTAGCAGCAGCAGCAGCAGCAATAGCAGCCGAAGCAACTGGAAGGGTTTGAGGTCAACTACAAGGATCCGGTCTGTGGTCCGTTAGCTGCCCAAGCAATTTGCAACTCGAGTTCCATTTGCATACCCTGGCCATTAAAAATAGGTAACAGGATATGATCACTTGATCTCGTCACACAGACGGAAGACTAATATGATTAAATAGATCTTGCGTCTCTTTCGCACTCTGTCGAATTTTCTTATATCAATAAAAAATTGATCATGGAACTTGTGTCTTTGAGCACGGCTCGAAAGCTATAAAATTAAGTTTATAGCTTGCATAAAGCATATTCAGTTAACAAAGAGTTATCTTGTGAAAAACTAGGTTGGACAAGAGCTACACTGTGCGGTATCTGCTAGTCGAGCACTTCCGAGTGGAGCACTCCAACTTGCTGTATGGTCTGACTTTTGGAGGTCGACAGCTTGTTGAACTGTCGGAAAATGCGTGGAAAAGCTCAGCAATTTACTCTTTAATTTGCGCAAGTGCCATACTCGCTGTTTGGCCAGACTTTCTAAACGTTTTCATTTCTCTATTCATTTTTTGGACAGTCATCTTAACCTACTGCTTGCCTTATCAATGCCGTAGAACAGTTAGAATGGCTGATAAACTAGCTGTGGACGGAAGCTAAGAGCTTGGCAAGTGCGTGATTTCTGTTTGAAAACTCATAAAAAACTCAACAACTTCGAGCAATAAAAAAAGCATTGCTTTGAGAAAGTGGTGGAGTGTTTAATATTACGCAATTACTATAAAAATCTTTTTCGGACACCTTCTAACCAAAGAAAAACAACCAAAATCGAAACATTTTTCGGACCAAATCTTAACAGCTGCACGTTATCGCGTGAGGCAGGCGCATGAAATCAAATTAACACCCGAGCTGCAGGCAGCAGCCACAACAACGTTCATTTTGTATCTACAACAGCAACAACAACAAAAACATGCATTATCTATGCAGCATCGCATCGCATCGGTGATGTCTCAATGACGCGATGACCGCGCGCGATTAAAAACGCGCGCAAAACCGGCCGCTCGCACAACAAGTTTTTCGGCTGCTTTTGTTATCAGCCTTGCAAATTGCCGCAGCAAAAAGCAACAGACAAAAATGAAGAAGAAGAAAAACTGTATGAAAATGAAGCTGTAAATTAATTTGGACAACAACTGGCGATCGGCTTAGCCGACTGCCTGCCAGGTTATGCAAATGCCCAGCTGATGAGTTGGCTGACTCATAAGCAGCAGTAGCAGCAACCGCTAATCAGGTCGTTCAGTACATTAAAGCAAGATTTATGCCAAGCAATTCAGCCTTAGCACACACGCACACGCACGCACAACATAAATTTATATGGCAAATAATACAATAGATGCCTCTCCTGGGCGCCCTGAACAGCAGCGACCGGCAGCATATTGCCAAATCAAGTGTCTGACTTAATGATGCTCAACATAAACAGGCTACGCTACAAATATTTTTCTTACATTTTTTTTTCGTACACATTTTCTTGGCCAAACGCAACGCCCCACCTGCTCCGCCCTCTGCTCGCCGCCAGAAAAACTTTTGAAACAAACACACATCTTTTTTTTATGAGAACTTTCAACTTGTGGACGCTGCTTGAGTGGGCGTGCCAAGTGATCTAAATATATACATATGTGTATAGAAACCAACACACACACACATAAACATATACATATATATATATATATATATATATATATATATATATATATATATATATATATATATATATATATTTATATATATATTTACTACATATTGCTTTGCTGATATTTCATATACGCATTAGTTTATTTGCTTGTTTATGTCGATGAAAAAATACGAAACAACATTTTGGGGCAAGTTTTTGTGGAAAGAGAACTTAAGCAACGGGGCGTCGACTTTGAAGTTAGTTTGGACAGCTTCTGACAAACATAAGGTCAAAGTTACTATCTCTGGCATTAAACAAATTCAGCTCGAAAGGTTTTCCTGTTGCTGTAAACATATTTTCATTTCGCATTGCTCAATTTTTACATAGCTTGAGGAAGCAAAAATCAAATAACAAATTATGTAATTAAATATATATAAGATGTTTATACATATATTTATATTTTTATACAGTTTATTACAGTTTTATGTAGTTCATTTTACAATTATGAAAAGTTTTATTTGTGTAACTTTTATTATGGGATTTTTTTGGCTGTTAAGTAATATAAAAATAAATAAATTTTTATCTGTTTGGCGCATTTAAGTAATTTAAAAATCATATGAGTTCTAGCTTCAGTCTTTGATTTTTGGTTCAATAAACGAAATCATTCTAAATATTTATATATTTATATTTATATTTATATAAATATTTGAATTTCATAAAGAATTATTTCTTTTAATTTTAAAATTGTTTAAGGCAAATAAATACATTCTGAATGTGTTTAAGAGCTTTGCATTTATATATTGTTATTCGAAGTATTCCAATAATATGCCTTTTCTAAATATGTCAATCAATATATGAATCAATCTAAGTCACATCAAATCAGACTCGATTTCTACCTTATAAATAGCGCTTATTATAGAGAAATATACTCACTGTATTCACTCTGCTCGTCCTGTGTGCCGTTGACGGTGCCATCTGGCAGTATTTGTAGTATACGATTCTTCATATATAACTGTATTTTGCGCGATGGTCCCGCCAAATGGGAAATGGTGGAGCGTTCGTTACGATCCAAATTGCTGGGATTATTGTTGAATATGTTGCTGTTGCTGTTGCTGTTGTTGGGATTGTTGTTATTGCTACTATTTATGTGTAGATTATTTCTAGAGTTATTCAGTCTTTTCGATTTCGAACCAATGAAATTGCTGTTGCTATTGCTGTTGCTGTTGATGTTGGTGGCAGCATCTGCCTGCGACTGTTGCTGCTGCTGCCGTCTCTGTTGCAGTTGCTGATGATGCAGGTGCTGATGCTGATGCCGTATGCTGCGCTCTGTGCGTGAGAGTATGGCCAAATGTTCACGTGGCGCAGACGAGAAAATGAAGCCCAATCGATCTGCATCGGCAACTGTTGCTTCTGTTGTGATGCTGCTGCTTCGGCTGCTGCTGCTGCTGCTGCTACTGCTGCTGGGTGTTGCTATGGTGGTTGTGTTTATGGCAGTTAATTGATTTGTGTTGTTTAATGTTCGCATATTAAATTCAGCGCTAATACTTTGATTGTGCTCTATACTATATTCACGCCTCAGCAGAGAGAGAGTACTATTATGACTATGATCACTTTGTATAGAACTATTACTACTATATTGATTATTGTTATTGCTATTGTTATTACTACTGTTTGTTTGCGTACTGTTTGTGTCTTGGCTCGACATTGTCGTTACGACAAACGACAGACCCGCCCGGGGCTCAACCGATAAAAGGAGGGCGCCCAGCAGCGCCAGGGCCCTCCAATTCAAGCGCAGGTTTCTTCGCATGAAAGATTACAATTACAGTTGCACAAGAGTTGTTGCTGTTGATGTTGCTGTTGCGGTTGCTGTTGCTGTTGCTGTTGCTGTCACTTTTGCTTTTGCTGTTGTTTTTCGCTTTTCTCTTCCTCTTTGATTTCAAAGTCCTTTTCTGCTTTGTTGTTTATAAAATTTGTTGCTGCCTCAAGTTTGTCAGTTGTTGCTGGGCGTGCGACACGCCCTTAAATATCGTTGAAACATATGAACGCCCCGTTTAAGTAACCAAAAAAAAAAATAAAGTTATATGTCTACATTCGTTTCGTTGTGTGTTTTTGTTGAATTTTTCTTGCTTTGTATGTATTTATTTTTTTTAGTGTATTCGTTTTCTTTTAGAGTTCTGTGTTCCAGTTGACAACAAATTTTCGCCGCTAGCTGGCAAGAAATTTAGGTTATCATATCGTGGACTTGTTGAACACTTTTCAATTTCATAGATTCATGTCTTTCCTTATGTTGCTGTTGCTGCTGCTGTTGCGGATCTTCATCTTCGTCTTCCTCGCTGATATTGCATTTTATCAACTCCAATGACTTCCTAGTCATGTCAGCACAGTCAGTAGCGGTGTTTCAAGTCTGATAATCAAACCACGCAACTAATTTCGTTGCTATTGCTATTGCTAGAGCCTTAGGTCTGTGGTTGCAACGCCAACATGTTGCACTTTCAAAACTATAAAGAAAGAAGGTCAAAGCAAAGGTTATTGAAAGCGAAGGTATTTGAACAACATTGAAATTACAAATTGGTTTTTTAAGAAAAACCCGTTAAAAGGTTAATTAGATACTTTTAGTACTAAGCTAAATTTTTGTTACATCCAAAATCACAGATATCTACAATTATATAAATATATATCTTTTACCATCTTCTTCAACTATCTTTAAGCTTTCTTCCAAATATCCTCGTTCCTCTTAGATACATATTTGTTTCTATTGTTCGGCTGTCTGTGACATGTATTCTATCTATTCCTTGGCTTCATTCCCCTTGATCCACCTTGACACTTGGATTTTGCTAACGCATCTTTAATCTCTATAAATCTTTCACATCCTTTATAGTATGTCTTTTTATTCTTCCAGCATGAGCATGATCGCACCAAGACTATCAACATATATTTCCAGTAGTCGAAACACCTGTTCAACACCCAAATCTGAGTCATATGACATTTGAAAGCAGAACAAAACGAAATTCAACAGAAGCAGAAGTTATTGCATATTCGAATTGGCTTTGAAAATTCCAACGCCAACATTTCGGATTAGTCGAATTGTATATAAATTCTTCATTCTAAGCGCTTTTATGCGCAATTTTGACATTTAATTAGTGCTGTGGCTATATTAAGCCAACGTCACACGGCGGCCGCAAAGTGGAACAGTTTATTTTTAGGCACCGCGGCTATCAGTGCGAACAACCCGTGGATACAAAATAAAGAAAATAGAAAAAAAGATACAATTGTATCTATGGGCTTGTCAAGTGGTCAACGGGTTACATAAATGCCGCCCAAAAGGGAGACGTTCGCATCGGTTAGTTATGCAAAAAACTCGGTGAAAACAACGAAACATCGAAAATGACTTTCCCCCCGCCAGCAGCCAAATGCACAAATTGGCCAACTAAGCGAGCGCCGAGAAATGGGCAAGACGAAGATGGGAAAACAACTCGCGAAATGAAGGGAAAAGCGCAAGCGGCAGCACGACTGGCAAATTGTTGTTTAAAAATAAATGTGGCAACAAAAACAATTCGCGCATAAAACTGTGTCGAATTTGAAAATAATCACGCACTAACTGCACAAACAGCAGCAACATCACCAGCAGCAACATGAGCAGCAGCAGCAGCAGCGACAAAACGTATCTATGAGATACAATTTGAGGAAGTGCCGCAGGGCCGGCAACGGGGCGGCTGAGTGACGTTGTCGTTGCACTTAGATGCTGCCGCTGCTATTGAGTTTTTGGCACGTGTTCAGATGCCTACGCAGCAGCAGCAAGTCTGGCTGCCGCAAACAGCAGCAGCAGCATTTTTTATGCAACATTTAAGTGCACTCCATTTTAATTACTATAAACAACAACAATTCAATTGCCGCCAACTCGACTAAACGAAAATAAATAACAAACTCATAAGTTGCACGTTGTCCGTTCGACTTGTGGGCCAAATTTCATGCAGCGAAATGTTAATTGCTTCTCTGCTGCATTGACGTCGTTGTACTGCACAGAATCAGTACACACACATCCCGGTCGCCCCATTTATGCAACGTGCAAAGGTATCAAATTTGTGTTGCCACGCGCGCGTTTTAAAACGCGCATAAAACGCCAGCAGTTACGACCTCTCAAAATGAAGACCAGAATACGGTATTCGCATACCAAAGATGTTTAAAATATACTCAAGCACACACACATGTGCCACACGTCAAAGCCAGGGCCAAAAATCAAGTTCTTATGTCAATTGGAAGTCTTAAAATAGTTAACAGCTTACTGCCAATGCATATTCTTATGTGTTTCTATAAGAACTTTATCGTGTTTGCAGCTATAAATGTAGTGGTTTAGCACATTTAAGCTGTAGCTGTCTTAACAGACACAATTTGCATTTTATATATTTTAATATAATAAAACTGTTAAAATTCTTTTTATGTTATCTATGCTCGTTTGCCAACAAGCTGTTGGAAGAATTGTTAAGTAAACAGAAACTTAAACAAGCTGTGAGATAAGATAACAGCGCTCGGAAGACTTGTTAACAGCAAACTGTAATAGTAATTTGTTCAACATTTTTATATTCTGTTAAGCGGATATCTTTTACATTAAATGCTCAATGAAGTTGTGAAATAGTTAGTTAACATTTCACTGCTATGTTAAGGCCATAAGCAATATTGTATCACAATTTTAACTGCTATTATACCAATATTTTATGCAAATATTCTCATTTAATCATTTAATTCATTAAAATTTCAGTATGTTTTAAATGTGTCATTTTATGTCATAATCAATGGCTATTAAAATACGCAGATAATATTTAGATTTAGGTATTCGAGAATACCCAAACACCTTTCACTTAACGTACGCTAGATTTTGTTTTTGTATTAACTAAAGAGTTGAGCTTCACACCGAGCCAAACAGTTTTTTATTGGCATGCTTCGAGGTTTTTATTAAAAAAAAACGAAAAGAAAACCTTATGAGCATTTAAAATATGCATAACCCTTTGCCAACCTCGACTTGACTTTTATTTATGCCTTTCACCCGAAACAGCTGCCAAAATAAAGGCCCAAAATGTGTGCCAAGTTGCGTTCTTCCTCTTCCTCGTGTGTGTATATGTTGCTGTTGTTGTTTGTGTCGGTAGAATTTATGTTAAATATTCTGTAAGGGCATCAAAAGCCCCCAAGCCGCACAGTCGAAGCCACAACAACTGCACCAACAACAAAGGTACAGCATAAAAAATTTATAAAAAACAAAAAAAAAATTAAAGCGTAAAACTATTTAGGGACAAGCGACACATGTGCCAAGTTATAAAAAAAAAACAAAAACAAAACAAAAGTTGAAGACCAAAATCATTTGGATTATGTGTTTAAAGTAACACCTAGACGTTGGCCACAGCGCACACAAATCAAATGTATATTTTAATGATCCCCGCTCCGCTTTGGGCCACCGTGTCTGTCATTCATAAGTTCATAACAGCCGGGGGCGCACAATCAACAAATTATGAAGAACATAAAATGGAAACCACCAAACAACAACAACAACAACAATAACAACAACCAAGTAATACGCCATATAAGTATGTTATACGATGGCCCAGCCGCACCATGTGATAGCCGATGTCAAGGAGCTGCCAACTTGTGTGGCAATATAATAACAGTTATTGCTGGATCAGCAAATTACCCATTTTTGCTTGCAGTTGCCAGTTGCCAGCACGCCCAGCCTAACTGGAGTTATGCGATTGAGAAAGCGAAAGTTTAGTTTTGATAAACCAAATCTTATCGCGCATATTTCCGCCTTGTCTGCCCCAACGTTTGTAATCAGAAAAAAAAAGAAATAAATTATATAAAAAAAACGACACACCCCATTGTCCCATTCATATAACCCAAATTCTAAGCGCAACTTTTGCGGCAGCTTTAATCAAATTTATGTTCATATAAAAGCTAATTCAAATTAAAAGCGACAAAAAACAAAAAAATTCAATTTGAATAATACAAAAAATCAGTTGGCATTCGAAAAAAAATAACGAACAAGCTACATTTTAAATAACAGAAGCTTTTATTTAGCTAGAAATAAAAATTTAAAAAAAAACATAAGTTTGATGGGAATATATTTTTATTCATTTGCCATAAGCTGAGCATCGCCAATTGTGTGCACAAATATTTTGTTTCATGCCATTTTCCAATGGCTTTCGGTCAGTTTTCGCTCACTGTGCCACAAATCGTTCAATAAATTAGACAAGTTCATCTTGCCGCTTGACAACAAGTCGCAGCAGTCTGCAAAGGCAAACACCAGACACAGAAATAGATTCCAGGGCTATACTTGTATAATTGATCGCCTGCGTTATACCCTGTAAACAAAGTGCCTTGTTTGCATATATCTAAGCTTCCCATAAGTAACATAGCAAAGGAAATTCCTTTAATGTATACATTTAGATTGCCTAGAGCTCATAGATCAAATGAATACACACATTGAAGCTCTTATAGAGATTTGGCCAGAACTTTGTATAACTGATCTTCGCTTTTATAGAGGCAAAACTTCAGAGCCAAATCAAATTCAGAGGCTGTTTAATCTTTGGAAAGACTACTCTACTACTTTGAAGTATGATTTGTGCAAGCCTCACTAGAGCAACATACAGGGTATAAAAAGGTTTCAATTGCTAAGAGCTTGGCACAGCTGACTTTTTGCCATAATCCGCCTAGACCTAGTCATTGAACTGTCCGCCAAAAACGATTATCACGCGTTTTTTTAGCAACAAATTTTTTTGCCTCTCAAACGAATTTGACATTTGCTTTTGTTTAGATTTATTTAGCTTTTTTGACTTTATTTTAATTTTTTTTTTGTTTTGGTTTTGTTTGTGTGTTTTGTTTAAAGGGCTTGCGCTGACGGATGGATGCGA